TTTGAGACTTTAGTCTTTGCAACTTTACAGATCTTCTTTATGCACCAAGAGCTTGTAACACCAAAGAGAAAGGAAAAATTTAAATCGCATCATATGACCCCTTTAAGAGACCAACACTTAAGTGCTGTGGTTTCCTATTTAATTATATTATGCATTAGAACTCAACACCTAAATGATAAACTTAGGGGCGGTTTCCCAGACAGGGTTTAAATTAAGTCTGGAGTATAGGCTTAATCTAGGATAGTTAGTCATGGCTTTAAAAATGGCTTTTTGTAACACATTAAATACAGATTAATAACTCCTGGACTATGGAGTCCTGAACTAAAATAAACTAGATTAATTTAAAACCAGAATTAGCATGGCAGAGGTTGCCTATAAAACATGGAATGAACCAAGCATATCCCCACACAAGGATAAAAAGTACTCCATGTGTACAATGAAATATACTACTGTATCTTTAATGTTGTTGGCCTATTCGGAGGTCCGGGACATCTTGTTCAGAGAGATGGCATCATGGATTCTAGCAAACACATAAACTGACTCTGCTAGAAATCATATAATGGGCCTTGTTTGGATCTTCCATCAGGACAATGATCTAAAAAGACCATCAAAATCAACACAAAAAATGGGCCACTGAGCACAAAATGAAGGTTCTGCCATGGTCATCCCAGTCCTCTGGTCTGAACCCTATAGAAAACGCAAGAGGAGAGTGTATCAACATGGACCTGGGAAACTTAAGGATCTGGATAGATAATATATAGTATAATGGTCTCTTGTCAGGTGTTCTCCAAACTCATCAGGCATTATAGAAGAAGAGTATTAAATGAAGTAAAAGTATTAAATAAAAGGGTGCCATTAAATGTAGCCAGTGTGTATTAGAGAAAAACATTTCTTTCATAATGAGATTTCCCTTCCCTAGCATTTTACTTTTAGGGTTTTGGAGTGTGTTTTATTTTTTCTTTGGCTTCTTTGATCATATTTATTCTATATAAAGACTGAAAGCAATGTTAATCTGAAGTTAAACCTGCCTCCTTGTAGGTTTAATGTAAGCCTCAATTTAGTCCTGAAGTAGCCCTAGTCTTCCTTCAGGAAATCATTAAATTCTGGACTAGATTAAGTCGAAGACTATTTAAAACCATGACAGAAAGCAGATTTCTGTTAATCTAGTTTAAAGGGCCATTTTAGTTTAGGACTAGGCTTAATCTCTGTCTGGAAAACGGCCCCATTGTGTCCTACATCTGACTCTTCATATTACAGACTCCAGTGGATTATGTCAGCAGGTGTAGAGATGGAAAATAAATAGGTCATTTCCCAACTTCTTGTGGATTTCTACCAAGTGACGGACTTAAATATTTCAAGAGTTTAGTCATCTTCCATCTGCACGATCACTCTTCACATCAGAAATGCCACATGAGCCGTTTCCTTTATGTACACGATTCATTGATCATTCAGGACCTTTCTGGCCAGAAAATCCTGGTGTGGAAAAGCCTCATGGAGTCAAATAAGTCATATCTGGTTTGTCTTTAAATGACTACCGAGAGTCGTACATTCTGGGTCATGTACTGTTTCAACAGACACAAACACACAACTTTTTTTTCACCTTTCTTTTTTTATAGGACAGCAATTTTAAACACTGATTGATTTCTCTTTCAGTTGCAGGTGGCAGTACATGTCACTTTTGCCAAATTATCATTCACATTATCTTCCCCCATCATTTCAGATGTTATCTTGAAGATGGCCGTAAACATCAGTCATCACGAAGTGACTCATCTACCAAGCACAATAAATAGCTAACATATTACAGGAAAGAACACACAATGAAAATAGGCCAGAATCAATTTAAATTCATTTATTTGTCTTCAAAGCAAGATGAAGAGGGGGTGTGTTTTCAAATTGGGCACTGTGATTAAAACAATAAAAAAAAAAAATCATTAAATAAACCCAGAGCTGACCAGTCTCCTGTCTCTCACTTCCTTCAGTGTGTCTGTGGGCTGAACAGTAGGGTGACGGATAAAGTGTACACATTATGTGTGGGTGTCACAGCCAGGCCAACAAGAAAAGTTTTTTACTGAGCAGCCAGCAAAAACCAGCTATAGAAAGTGAGTACCTAAGACAAGCCAAGTATCCTCCTGTATTTGAATTTGGATGTAGGACGGTCCTAAGGGTGAGGGCTTTTCTAAGCTGGACTAAATATTGCACTCCCCAGAGATAAAGATAACTAGAGAAAATAACATGGCTTCACGAAAAAAAGAAAAAAAGTGTCCTAACCCCACCCACACTCCTGACAAGACACACTAATTATAGTGAATAAATACAGCTGACATATTTGAAACCTAGGCTAACCCTAAATTAAAAGTGATTTCAAAGGGGGCAATTGCTGCATTGGAGAGGAACTTCTTAAAAATGTTGTTTTGTGCAAAAATACTTCAGAGTGGTTTCTGTAACAAAATTGGCTATTGTGTGTGGTAATAATTACAAAAAAAAGAAAGATAAAAGGAACATGCCCAACAATAAAAGTCTTAATAAAAATCAACAATGACAGCAAATGTAAATCTTTTCATCATGGTTCAAAGTACTTGTTCCGAAATAACACAAAATAAAAAGTCATCCAATGATTGGAAATTTGGGAAATCAGGGGAACTTGTGTATAATTCTTGCCCATGACTGTTAATGCTGGTTAACCAACCAGGTTGTGGGCTCATCTGTGTGCTTTGACCCTTCTAATTGATACTGCTGGTGAATCCATAGATCAGCTTTCATTCATTACATCTCTGTGATCGATTAGCCATGATTCATTTGATAAAATCACCACAATTATAACCCACAGCTTTTGATCCCCTTTACCCTGGTTCAACTTCCCACTGTTGTTTTGTATGACTGACAGAATGACGCATTACTGGACACAGCAGTTGGGACCGTTGGGATCCTTGAACCGCAGACGCATCTTGGGTCTGTATTTTTCAAGGTAAAGAAGCTGCTTGGAGTTGAAGGCTCCACGTCTCTTCCTAAAAAACAAACAAACAAACAATTAGTGCAGTTTAAATCTGCGAGAGGCTGGAATACATGACTTTTGCCCAGATTTATGTGCCAATTTTCAGTCTGAAGGAGACAATGCTAGTTGCAGAAAGTCAGATCATGCAGAGTATGAGGGGCACACACTTTTTTTAGCTTCAGTCTATAATTCCATGCAGTCAGAGAATATCAAACTAGTTAAATATTTGGAGCTGATTGTAGAACACACTGTTTTCATTTGTTATGTGTCTAATAGCAATGAGGTGTGTATTTCTGTGTGCGTTTGTGTTCAGAACTACTTCAGAAAGTCTGGTAATGTGTGCTCCTCGGTCGATTAGTGTATGATGTCCAGTTTTTCCTTCTAACCATTTGCAAAGTTGTCAAGTGTATGATGCCTGGTGTTTAAAAATGGTTCAGATTTAAAAAGGTGTGTAGTGTATTCCAACCTTAAAACTGAAGTTAGAATGTCAAATGTATATCAAAGGAGAAATCATCCAAACTACTTACTGTCTTATAAACTGCACCGCATCTTCATACTTCATTCCACACTCAATTAAGGCTAAAGCCACCAGTACAGGTGCTCTATGAAAACGAGACAAAACAGATTCAATACAATGCAAGTTTTCAGTCAACAAACTGCTTGATGACAAAAAAATAAAAATAACAAAATAAATAATAAAAATGTTGTTACTCAAAAATATTCTTTTTTTTTTAAAGGTCATGAATTTTTACACCTGCATCAACAATGATCAAATCAGAGTGTCCCATCTTTGGGAGCTCATAAACAAGTGTGCTTGTATTCACAGAGAAAACTGTATTCTGAGCTGCTTGTTTATGTAAAGAGGTCAAGAGCTGAGACGGCAGTCTGTAGTTGAGTTCTCACACACACCCTCTCCAAAAAATGCTGAACAAACAACAACAAAAAAACACTTCTGTGCTTGGAGAGTATTACGACCACAGGCTTGTTTTAAATGGTGCTGCTGCTTTTCCCTAAAGGAACTGGTGTAAACTGAGCTCAGGAAAATGAATGCAAGAGTACAGAGTGCACTGTATTGCCCACAATGTTGGTTACACCATACTAACACCAGCAGGTCACAGAGTTTAGACTTCTCAAGTTTAGACTGGTTACTGTTATGTGTGTGTGTGTATCAGCAGGTTTATACAGAGGTGAGAAAGGCTGAGCACTAAATATGCAAAAGTTAGCAAGTGTTTGAAGAGTTTGAGAACACAAGTGGGACTCATATGCAGGATACTTTTTACACAACCACAAATTTTTGACTAGTCATGGGTTGCTTGAGCAACTAATCAACTCATCTATCTTAACTAAAAGCACGGTATAATGAGGCAGGTTTCAGATTCACCTGACTTGCAGTAAACCTTTACATAAGCTGCTTGTTAACTTTACCATCACAAGAATCCATTACATTATAAAAAAAAACATTCAAATAGAAAACAGTTATTTTCAAAAGTATTACTTTTTTTACTGTATTTTGATCAAATAAATGCAGCCTCGGTGAACTTAAGAAAGTTCTTTCAAGACGATGCATATGTCCTATCACTAGAGCTAATGAAGGAGGGACTAACCCTGGCTCTTCCGCTAACCGGCCCAATCCTGCAACACAGTGAACAGCAATGCAGCATTTTGGCTCCTCTCTGAACTTAGTCTTCAGCAGGTTTAACCAATCATCTACAATCTGGGTTGGGGGCGGAGCTCCGTCGTCAAAGGGCCAGTCCTGCAGCAATGGGAAAAAAAACAAAACACAAAAAACCCACAAACAGCGATTTAATGTCTTGAAGTAGAAGTAAACTATGAAGTAAAACAGCTGAAGAACTTGAAACGTTTCACATTAGGCCTTGCAGAATTTGCCTGTGGAGCAAGGCATTGTGGGAGAGCAGAACGTTCTCATGAACTGTTTTTGGGCAGAAGGCCACAGAGATCTGGCCTCTTCCCAGACAAACCACACAACTAGCGAGAAAGGACTAAGAGAAGAAGAGAGAAATATGCAGAGACAAAACAGGAGAGGACAGACCAAGGAGATTAAGATATAACATGAAGCTGGAAACAGGAGATCAATAAGGAGAGCCATCAGGAGGAGTGGAGAAGACAGAGGAGTTCAGGGCAAGACGTATCGGGTTCACCAAAATGACATTACGTCTAACGTCATCCTAAGGGAGTACAGTGGTTTTCTGGTAAATCCATTTGCATCACTAAACACAGCTTAGGACGGCATTAATTATCAACAGTTTCATGTAGTTATCTCGGTCTGCTTTCCATTTCCTCTTCGAATATCCCTAGATCTGAGCGTGTGAGAAGATCGGTGCTTGGGAACGTTAAAGAGAAAGCGTGTGTGGGCGAGTATGACAGATAATGGAAACGGACTGGCTGGCAGCTCCGTCTACGCAGCCGTCTGGACCGCCGTGCTCCTGCTGACCCGCAGGCAGCTTCAGCTCATAGCAATCTCTTACTTTCTATGCTTCTTAAACATGCAACCCCTTGTTCCCCATCAAACCTTGTTTTTTTTCTTTATTAAGATATTCCCTGTGTCAATTGTGAGTGAGCAACTTCCAAAGAAAAATGGACAAGGTGCACTGTGTTGAATAGCAGAGATGTAAATCTTCACTCGGGTATAGGGTTACAGCTGCAGTTAGACAGATGCCATGGGCCATATATCTCAAACAAACAAACAAACACAAACACAAACACAGTATGTTGACTGTTACCACCCTACCATGACAGTAAAGTTTGAACTACTCCGTACCTTCTCTTTAAGGAAGTAAGGATATTGTTCCCCTTCTAACACCTTTCCTTTCTTATAATGTCCAAATAATATTCTGTAGGTCATGGAAAATGATCAAACACATAAAAGGGAACAAAGGCAGGGTCTGAAATTTCCTCTTTTAAATGAGAAACTAGGGTTTGCCTAAATCTCCAGATATAGCGACTTTTAATACAATATATCAATTAGGGCTGGACAATAATTCAATATCAATATGTATCGCGATATAATATTTTTCAATAATGGTGATATGATTTTTAAACACATTTCCGATATTTCGATATACATTACCAGTGTTACCATACATTGATTTATTTGTGGCGTTTGACTTCGTTGAATAAACATGAGCACTGTACGTTTCAAAATCACAACACGGCCCGTGTTTTATATGAATGTATCTCTCAAGGGAACCGACCGTCTTCAGAAAAGTTTCGATGGCATTTTCATTTGATCTGATAAAGAAGCCTTCATGAGCGGAGCTGCTTTGATTACAGCCGTTACCAGGGAAACCACTAGTTTTATCACTCCAAAAGCGCCTCCTGCTGGCAGAGAAGTAATTTGCATTTTCAATAATAAGCCCGTCTCCAGCAACATTTCCAGTTTTTGTTGTTCAATTTTTTTGGTAAGGTATTTATTTATTTATTTTAAGAATTCTCTTCTGCTCACCAAGGCTGCATTTATTTGATCCAAAGTACAGCAAAAACAGTAAAAATATTTCAAAATTTGACTATTTAAAATTGCTTTCTATTTGAATAGCTTTTAAAATGTAATTTATTCCTGTGATCATACATAGCTAAATTTTCAGCATAATTTCTCCAGTCTTCAGTGTCACATGATCCTTTAGAAATCATTCTAATATGCTGATTATCAATATTTAAAACAGTTGAGTAAAATTTTTTTTTTCAGGATTCTTTGATGAATAGAAAGATCCAAAGATCAGCATTTATCTGAAATAAAAAGCTTTTGTAACATTATACACTATTCCATTCAGTATAATTTTTATTATTTTTTTGGGAAAGAAATGATAGAAATTAATACTTTTATTTAGCAAGGATGCTTAAAATTGATCAAAGGTGATGATAAAGGCATTTATAATGTTACAAAAGATTTCTATTTCAGATAAATAGTGTTCATATCGATATCGGAATTATATCGTATCGACTGAAATTAAGAAATACATCGTGATATAAATTTTGGCCATATCGTCCAGCCCTAATATCAATATGTCAATATATCTTCTGTTTACTAAACTAACGTGCAGAGTACAGGTGTTCAGAGATGGTAAATAAACTGTGAAGCCTATCTAGGCTTTTCCAGCAGGGTCAGAACAAGATAATGTCAAGTATAAATAAAGACGTAACACGCTGAGTTTTTTTTTCCCTACAGGTCACTAAGAATGAGATGTCTTTATTACACATACACCCGCATACAGCACTTGTTGGTGACATCAGTAGAGCTGTGGGTGAAACGACTTACATGATCTGAAGAAAGAAAGGAGCATGTTCGAGATTTTGCTTGTTCAGTTCCCCTTTTGAGTTCAGATCACAGAAAAGACCATTGCAAACGGGACAAAGCAATCAATAAAATTTGCTGCATAGTTAATGTAATCCTCAACATATAATACCTAACTAATTTCATGGGAAAATTTCTAAGAAGCTGAAACTTCATGTTGATTTTTTTTGCTTGACATGCTTTCTGCACACATCTGACTGAAAATTAAGAGAAGAGAGACAGAACAGCTTTCTGCCTTCTCATGATCTCACTTCTATTGCCATTCAAAATTTTAGGGTCTGTAAGATTGAATGTCTTTAAAAGAAGAGTCTAATGTTCATTTATTTGAACAAAAATACAGTAAAAACATGAATATTGTGAAATATCTGTACAATTAAAATAAATGTTTTCTATTTGAACATATTTTAAAATAAAATAAAATAAAATATAAAAAATATATTCCTGAGATGGCAAAGCTACATTTTCATCAACCATTACTCCAGTCTTCAGTCTTCAGGATTCTTTGATAAATAGAAAGTTCAAAAGAACATTTTAAATGTTTTACTATAACTTTTGATCAATCTGCTATGTGAAAATAAAATTAATTTATTAAAAAATATATATCTTACTGACCCAAACTTTTGAACTGTAGTGTATAAGAGTTCAATATTTACTAGGGGTGTCCCCGACTAAGGATTTTCATAGTCGAATCGGAATTTTCGAATCTTGCCGATATTCGACTGATAGCCGAATCATATGTTTTGGGGGCAGGGCAAAATACATTACCAAGAGTCAAGT